CGCCGCGCGACACGGCCGTGCTCAAGCAGGCGTGCGTCTTCGACCAGCTGCACGCCGAGGCGCACGCGCCGCCGCGGCTGGAGCAGGTCACGGTCAACGTGGGCAAGCGCAGCTCGCTCATCCTGGAGGGCTTCGAGAAGAAGGAGGCGGCCGCGCGCGCGCCGCCGCAGCTCGTCGCCGTCAACTCCACCGACCTCGCGCAGAGCAAGCTCTACGACAAGCTGCGCGGCTTCGAGGAGAAGGACGCCCGCGCCGCAGAGGAGGTCAGAATCGATAAGGGACTCGTCGACAAGGACACGCCGCGCATGGCCGACGCGCTGCAGAGCCCGCCCGCAGAGAGCGCCCCCGTGCAGGGGGTGGGACTCCCGCAGAGTGCGCACGCGCACGCCGTGCCCGCGCAGAATGCACAGCCCCAACCCCAGCCCCAGCCCCAACCGATACAGGGTCAGCCCGTGTAGGTATGGCAGCCTTGTTTTAGGGAGCGCGTCGCTTCGCGCGGGGAGAGGTTAAGCGTTTTGGGTTTTCGGTACCACGCGATGTTTTGTTTTTGTTGGTTTAATTGCATTGAGGAGGGAAAAATGTGGGTGAGGAAGTGAGTGTACAGAGCTAATCGTCGTCCTCGTCCTCCTTGGGCGGCAGTGTGGCTTGGACCTCCTCCCATGATTTCTGTGTATAGTCGGTGAAGTCGGCGGTGGAGGGCGCGTGTACAACAAGGGGCGTCGATCGTGTCAGCAGTAGTTATAGTGCCGGCGAAACAAAGCGAGTAAAAAACGAGCACGAAAACAGTCAGCACACGCAGCGCGGGGGCGGATGCGCGGGGTGGGGGACTGAAGGGGAGGGCGGTGCGCACTTACGCCCTTGTTAATCGACTTCCAGATCGAGTCGGTGCCGGAAAGGTAGGCGTTGGTGGCGACGTAGCTGCCCAGCACGCACGCCGTGACGTACACCGAGTTGCGCTTCATCAGCACGTTGTACAAGGTGGCGCGGAACGCGGGCATGCCCGTCATGGCGGCCTCGCGGGAGGCCATCGTGCGGGCGGCGGGGGGACGGGCAGCGGGGGGACGGGCAGCGCGGATCGGGGGACGGAGAACGCCGCGGGGGGAGCGAGCGGGGTGGGGGGGAAGGGGGGTTGCTGAGATGTGCGAATGGGAGAGGGGCCGCTGCAATGGCGAGGCGGAGGGATGGGGTGTGCGGCAGGGGGCGGGCGGGTTGAGGCCTTTTTTGCTCCAGCTGATGGACCTTACAGTAGACTAGACGTAATTGTTCTTTGTGCAAATGCAAAAGATACAAAGTAGTTAAGGCTACATTTGGATCAAATTGTACAAGTCCAGGGACAAGTTTGGACAGGTGGAATAAAACTGTTGGCCGTATCTGTCACAATTCCACATCCGGCATGCACCTTGTTTCTTGATTTACATGAACACATTACAGCACTACGCATCTAGTCTAGTGTCTATTGGGCATGTGACCTCATATGAGGTCACTTTTCAACTTGTTTTTTCTCGACTTGTGCCATCTCAACAAGAAGGAAAAAGATACTCTTGCCACCGCAGTTCACTTTTGCGTTGCGGAAGAGTAGAGTTTGGTGAGATCTGCACGTCTTCTCCAGCCATTTTTAGAATGTCTACAAAAGAAGCCTTTTTGACCAATCTCAAAACGTTATGTGTTGATATCTTCGAAACCAAAACGCCTGTTTACAATGTTAACAGACCATTGAAACTTCATTAGATTCTTAGTCTTTCTGTGTATTCACAACTGCTCTCCCAATGTTTTGTAAGATGTTATTGCCGAGGGAATAAACGTTAAAGAAATGGCGTCCAAACTGACTTTATAAAATTTCGATTTAATATATATATTTTTGCAAAAAAAAAGCTGGCCTCATATGAGGCAAACTGCATGTCAAATAGACACTACCCTTGGTAGTGTCTATCCGACCGGCCCTTGTCCTCACATGAGGACAGATGGATATGCATACAACTGGACAGCAAGCATACAGGAGAACATTGCCGCGGTTGCTCATTGTACATGGTAGGTATCTCTATTATTATACACACATGTGTGTATAACCTGTGTTATTATGTTTCTCGCCCTCCTCATTGCGCCCCGTCTACTCCAAAGGATTCCTAGTCAGGGCCGTTCTACCTGGCAGTTTTTCTCCCCTGTGAGAACAGGGCAATACTGTAGTGTATCGCATGCTTCTCATCGCATGCGCAACACGAATACGCTGCCCAACCTCATGTACAGTACCCTTGCGTACAGTACAGCAAGCAACCTGTGGTCGAAGCATCGAGGCGAGACAAACACAAAAATAATCATTTAAGCAGACTCAAGCACTCGACCAAGTTTATAAAAAGCAACCATCACGCCGTATCCGACAAGTGCTGCACTTCAGTGCGATGACTAATTGTGACCTACTATTTCGTCTGCTTGTACTCTTTAAGAGATTTAGTAGGGATGCTCTGTTTGTTTGTGAAGATCTCGTTGGGATCCCACAACTTCTTTGCCTTGATGAGGCGGTTCAGGTTACCCAGAAAGTAAAGTTCGAGGGCACCATACTTGCCGTTCTTCCAGTTGTTCAAGTCCACATCCGGGTAGTTGAAGTAGCATCCCTCAAACACACCTTTACCACTCTCCACCTGCGTGTTGGGGTCTGGAACCCCGCCATACGGCTCATACATCTCCTCGTAAAAGTCTCTAATCCACTTGAGGTTCACTGCATCCTTGTCTTCTTCCTGCCAGTATGTCTGGTACTGCAGTTTGATGATGTACTTGCGCTGCGCGACTGCCGTCGCATCCCAGGCCACGTTGTGAATCTCACCACCAAACATGTCCACCTGGAGTAAGGCATCCTTCATTTCGGCACTAGTCAAGCCGTCCGGGACCTCCGTAAGGTATTTCCAGATCACGTCGATCTGCAAATCCGGGAAATCCTTGATCATGTACGCAGACTTGTACTTGCCGCGCTGATTCGGCCCGGAGCCGTTGATCGTCTCAGTGAGCGCGTAGAAGGGGTAGTCCATCGTCTCGTCATGTATATACGACGTCTTGGATGTGTGCCTCTTGCGCGGCCGCACGGGGAACGGCGCCCACCCAGCATGCCCGCCAAGCGCTTTGGTGGGCTCGCATGTTTTGTAGATCTGTTCTATGTCAGCCTCCAAATGATAGTGACGGTCTTGGGCAACTTCGCGCTCGGCGTCGTTCGAGTAGGATGTATACAAGTACATGACAAACTCTTCCGCTGCCTGATGGAAGATTTGAAACTTGCCAACCGTATTCTTCCAATCACATCTGGCAAGTTTGAAGTACTTTGTCAACAAATCCTGCAAGGCATCTCTCGTGAAACCGTCCCAGCTGAAGTGTAAATTTGATGCGATGACGCCCCGTGGAGACATGGGCAAATCCTTGAAGTAGTATTTGGTGATGATTCCAAAGTTTCCGCCACCGCCACCTGTGTGTGCCCAAAAGAGGTCCCCGTCGTCGCCTTCGGAATCTTTGTGCACATACTTGAGTACCGAGTCTTCGGTGAGGACTGGCTTAACGACGACCTCCACGCCGCTGAGCCAATCGACGGGGAGGCCATGCAAGCGGGCCAAAATGCCGTCACCTCCGCCGACAATGTGGCCACCGAGGCCGACGGAGTAGCAGGAACCCCCGGGAAGAACTCTTCCGTGGTCTCTGAACAAGGTCTTGAAGGAGCCCCAATTTGTATCTCCACTGCTGACGAAGTAACCCCTATCGTCGTCATAACCACTCTCAACGAGACCAGTGACGTTGATGATGGCCTTGACGCATTCGTCAAATACGAAGTCCTCGTAGCAATGGCCGCCAGAGACGATCCTGACTGTACCGGGAGAACACTTTTCCATAGCACGGTCAAGTGCAGTACAAGCACCTTGAGGAGTGTACACGACATAAACGAAATCGATATTAGTTCCAATCCAGCGGCGGTTGAAGCCCTGCTTCATGGAGGGGAGACGTGGGTCCGGCTTGTCCGGCGTGCCCGCGTTGACATCAATTACAATATAACCGGGGTCTTTCTGGGGAAGAGTAGCCATCGTGAAGTTCAGTGTGCAAGCGAACCTTTGACATACACGGTACCAGAGAGACGAGGCAAAGGGCTCTTCGACGCAGATTGTGGGCGACGACAGGAAGAAGGAGCGGGAGACTGGGTTGTCAAGGTATTTATCCTGAACGGGTCTTAGTTTGGGAAGGGTGTCAGTAGTTTGGGAAGGGTGTCAGTAGTTTCATTGATTTCAGTTCATACACAACGATTACGGACGGGAGATTGTCACAAAACATATAAAATGCAAAGGTATGCACATAGCTTGCTACCAAGGGTAGGTATGAAAGGATTGCATTTCTGTATGACTTGTATATATAACACAAAAAGCACCCCATTTGTAATAAGCTATCTCGCACTGTGTCAGATCATGCAGTGTTGATGAGATCAAAGCGCACGTGCCTTGCCTATGAGGCAGCCTGCTGACGCGAGCAAGCGGAAGCACAATATGCCCCAATCAGTCGAACACTGTATGTACTTTCATTTGCGGTTTGGATGGGGTCTTTATTTACAACCAGGGAGAACCCGAAGTTGAACTATGTCAAGATGAACAGAAGACTTTCCTGGCTCTCTTCGCAGAAGGACCTGATCTCGGCTCTCAAGAGCTCACGTGCAGAGCACACATCGCCCCGAAAACTGGGCGGTTTTCGCCCATATTGTGGCAGAATCTCCAACGCAATATGTTGTGGTGCCAGCATCAGCAGCGCTGGCCAATGCAAATATTATAGTTGCAGCGTATGTTTATTCTTAGTTACGGTGTCTGATGCAGATATGTGTGCGAAGCCCTGAGAGGTCAAAGCAAGGGTGCAGATGTGGGGTTCTGCAGGGCGAGAAATCCCTGATACTGCATCCTTGTATCACAGGACTGCGGTCTGGAATCTGGAGGGCATTTTTCTTTCTCTCGGGGGTGGTTATGAGTAGTCTTGATATTCATTGAGTGACGCTTCGGGAGTATCGCAATACTGTAGGCCTTCAAAGATGATGACTGCAATGTATGGGTTTGGCAACTTTTTATGCGATTATTAGGATTACCGGACCGTTATGTAGCGGAAAACGAAAAATCCTGCGCAACTCTTTTACGGGTCTCCGGAGTCTCTTCGAAACGAGTGTGTCGTGAAACGATGGGATGAAGCGCGTTACCGAAGACACCCTCGTAGTTTTATTAGGTTTTAGGTTGCCGCGAAGACACCTCGTAGTTTTATTAGGTTTTAGGTTGCCGCGAAGACACCTCGACACCTCGTAGTTTTATTTGGTTTTCGGTTGTCGGCCTTGTCGGGCCGACTTCACCCCTCCGTTCGGAGACAGAGGGGCTGGAAGGCAAGAGGGTATTTCAGTGCTGGATTCGAGGAGGCTCAGGGACGGGGGCATCGATCTTTGGAGTAAAGGAGGCTTTGTACCATGCACTAAAATCTCCGCGGGAACCGCCGCGGCTTCGATATCGCACCTGCTGACGTATGAAAGAAAGCGGTAAAGAGACCCGAATAGCAAGCTGAACGAGTTTTTTCTCCGTCGGCGATGAGGCAGAAAAAGCTTCATCGCCAGATCAGAAGGTCGAGACTTACATAAACTTTGCTTCAATCGAGCGCACCTCTCGTGCGCAATGTACCGCCTAAAACTTTAGATACTTTTCGAGGGGCACCGTCCGCCACTTGCCGAAAACAGTCGCGAAATATAAGATTAACGAGGTGAATGTCAAAAAAGTTATAAAGTTATACAGATATACAAGGGAGGAAATCTGCCGGGAAGAACGGCCCTGAACGGCCCATTGTTGCAGGTCATGCACATGATCTCTGGTCGTCTTACCCAGTGAGGGACGAGGGGTACAGCCCCTGGTAATACAGATATTTGAGGTACCGTTCGAACGGTACTGTATGCAGTTACCCTGGATGCAGATACCCTAGTATATAAACTTTATGTACCGTACGGGATGCCGTACGCTTCGGCACCGAGGGATAGAAGCTCGTTTATCTTTCGATGCGGTCGCCCCATTCCTTGTGAGAATGCGCCTTGGGCACAAGTCCCAGTTCCGTTTCCAACCCCCCACCCCGGCAAATGTGAGCCATCGACACACTTGCCGACGACAACATTGGTCCAAGCGGGCCCCAAGGGCCACACCTATTGGGATATGCCAGGCACTGATGTCGAAACCTTCGGCGGTGTTGTTCACATGAACATGTGACCTGCAAACAGCGCTACGGCAGCGCTACGGCTGTTAAAAGTTCGGAAAAAAAAACACAAAAAAAACTGTTCCACTCTGCTCTATCTGCTACTGTACGTGCGACTCAACAGTACCAGCTGGGCTCGTGCGGCCTCGTGGAGTGGAACAGGAGCAGGACGCTGGCATTGTTGCAACGTGGGTCTCGACCTCCCAGCCGGCACGCTGTGCCCGGCGAAGCGGTGCCTGTCGAAAAAGGCAGGCTGGCGACAGCCATACGGTCGCCGCAACGCCGCGGCCATTCCACCTGCCCACCGGTGCTCGCGACGGTTGCCACCCAGCGCGCCTGCCACCTGGCCTGCGCGCGGCGGCGGCAAGATGACTGAGAGTGCGACGCGGCCGTGGCAAAAATGACTGAGGGCGCGACGTGGCGGTGACGAACATGACTGAGAGCGCGGTGCGGCCTTCCACGAAGCACCCATCGCGGCCCCGCGCGCGAAAGCGCCCGGCTCGACAACTCGCCCGCGTCCGTCCGAGGCGCTCCGCCCTCCCCGGGCGCGGCGGCGCGGGGCGTAAGAAGCGGCAGAATACATAAATCAAAAACGGGAGGCGGCGCGCAGAGCAAAAAAAAAGAAAAAGAGGCGTCTTACACTCACATCTCACATTAGAGACGGCCCAAAAAAAAAGGAGGGCGGTGCGCGCGCGACGGGGTCATTGCCTGTACACGATGGGCAGGGCGGGCTCATCCTTGTCGACCCTTGCGTAGCCCTCGCGGTCGACGCGAGCCCACTTGGCGACGCGGTAGCCTCCCTCCGCGTACAGGACGCCGCCGAGCACGTCGGCGGCGTAGTGGTGGTGGAGGTAGATGGCGGCCCACCACACGAGCAGCATGTAGGCGAACTGGAAGGCGTGGACGGGGCGGTACGGGACGGGCGGGCGGAAGCGGGCCATGAGGTAGGGCCAGGCGGCGTGGAGGCTCGGCCACGCGCCGAAGACGAGCTTGCCGACGTCGCCGTACATGCGGTGGTACATGGAGATGTTGTAGCGGGTGTCCAGGCGGCCGAGGATGGCCGGATCGCCCTTCATGTCGTAGCTGGCGGGGGCGGTGCCGTGCTGCAGGAAGTACCACGGCGGGGCGGTCGGGAAGGCGAGGTGGGTGGACACGGCGGCCAGGTTCATGAGGCCGAAGGCGAGGACGAAGGTGAGGATGTGGCGGCGCGCGGAAGGCGGGGAGAGAAGCAGGTAGGACGCGATGAAGATGAACGGGGTGACCGGGTGGATGGTGTACGGCACGGCCGCGAGCAGGTCCTGCCAGGGGGCCGCGGCCTCCGGGCGGAACCAGGAGATGGACGAGGCGAAGAGCGTGGCGTCCAG